CTTCGTGATTGTCAGGCAAGCAAAGTCTACCGCATTGAGGGAAATCAGGTAAGATTTGACACAGTTGTTGATTTATATATGCTCATCAGGCAATGTACTGATCAAATTTGAATCTCTTTGCTATTCATAAAGGATATCACGCTTAAAGGAGTTGTGGCTCTGAATGCTCAGTGTCAGGAGAACAGAAGAATTCAAGAATTCAATCAGGCATGATGAGCCTTCTTTGTTGCGCAGTTCTTTTTAGGGAAATCGCTACATAATCTACATTTTCATCTTATTTTGCCCAAACTTCTTTTATGTGTAGGCTTTGCCATCAACTTCATCAGTGCCAGCCATTGAGCAAGCTCCTATGACACCATCGTCAAGGGTAAATGACTTTGAACCTTTTATCTGGTCTCACAATAAATTTCATCACATTAGTAGGATTGTCACCGATCTTATTTCTGTCTGGTGTTTTGATGTTAGCAGACTCTGTCTTTGCCTCCTGTTTCTCCCCGTGAATCCCTGGCTCCATCAACCCCTAATGGAGCTCAACAGGTTTGTCTCTTCTAATCTCAAACAAGAAATTTGAAACGAAAATTCTTTGTGCTGAGTACTGATTTTTCATTTGGACAGTCGCATGGTGCACTTCAGCACACTCAATCTATGTCTGGTTTGAAGGACATAAGTGAAAGCTCTAGCAGCCGCGAGACTATATCAAATGGAACACATTCTGGAGAAGCCATGGGAAACACGAGTTCAGGCCTGTTTAGTATGTTCTCAATACCAAGAATAGGGAGGACTCGTAGTGCGGTCAACGCAGTGCCTGCAAAATCGACTGGACCCCAATAGTGGCTTGTCAGTACTGAAGAGAGGGAGTTTGATCATTCAAATATTAATGATCAATAGACCAGAAATGGGCAAGTGTTAGTAGATTTTGATGTATCTATACTCAGTCCCTTGCTTGGTGGAGAAAATGTCGCAAGTGGTGCGGCATATTTTTGTAGAGATGCAGCATATATATATTTTAATTGGGTCATATATGTCACAATTGCTATGCCCATTCATAAATCAGTTAAATTCACAGGATTATAGTGCAATAACTGGTCGACGACGATGGTTTTGTCTGGCCATCTCTTCTTTTCCTTTCTGTTTTTGAACAAAAGGTTGGTTGGTCCATTGATCAATTACATTGTTTCTACATAAAAGCCTATTTTGCATTTTCTGATACGTGCATGGAATTTAGTGAAATCATAAATGGTACAAGGTTGTAGCATCATGCTATCTTTGTTCAAGTTAACAATGTGTGCTCTAAAGTGATTATGCTAGTAAGCAAGCAAAGTAACCAAAATCATGGCATTTATATACTCCTCATTTGAAATTAATGAGCAACTATCTCCTTTTCTTCTGCTTCTCTCTATAACTCTCTGTAACCGTTATATAACCCAATAAAATATAAGCTGCATCCCTACAAAAACTATGCACCATTTATGACATTGTCTCGATGCACATGCAAACAGCAAAATCTATTTAAATCCTCTACTAGTTTACACATGCCAACTTCTACTTTGTAATCCTAAACTTTGAATGAACAATCTCTCTTCAGTTAGTAGGCACTGTGTTGACCGCACTAATTGTCCTCACTATTCTTGGTATTGAGAACCTACCAAGCACGCCCGACCTTGAGCCTGATGCACCGTTTCCCAGGGCTTCCCCAGTATATGTTCCATTTGATGAAGTCTCACGGTTGCTAGAGCTTTCACTTATGTCCTAAGACCCAAATTTAAAGAAGATTGTTTAGGTTAGGTTTGACGCATATTGATGATCAGAATTTGAGGGATAAGAAGGAAATAAAGAATCTTTACCTTCAAACCAGACAGAGATTGAGTATGCTGAAGTGCACGTCCAAATGAAATGTTGATACTCAGTACAGCGATATTCAGTTTCTAACCACTGATTAAACAAATAACAAACAAACCTGTTGAGCACCATTAGGGGTTGATGGCGACGGGGATTCACAAGGAGGTACAGGAGGCAAAGACAGAGTCTGCCAACATCAAAACACCAGAGAAACATAAGCAACAGAACAGAACAAGATCGGAAACAATCCCAATAACATGATAAACAGTTGTGACACCAGACAAAAAGGTCTAGCCATTTACCCTTGACGATGGAGTCATAGGAGCTTGCTCAAGGGTTAGCATTGATGAAGTTGATGGCAAGGCCTAAACACGAAACCGAGTCTGGGTAAATAAGATGAAAATGTAGATTACGTAGGCATTTCCCTAAAAAAGAACTGCACAATCAAGAAGGTTTATCATGCCTGATTGGACTCTTGAATTCTTCGGTTCTCCTGACACTGAGCATTCAGCGCCCCAAGTCCTTTAAGCGTGATATCCTTTATGAATAGCAAAGAGATTCAAATTTGATCAGTTCAGTGCCTGATGAGCATAAAAATCACCAACTACAACTGTGACAATTGTTACCTGATTCGCCTCAATGCGACAGACTTTGCTTGCCTGACAATCATGAAGATCACAAGATCAACTCTTTTTATGCTTTTAGGGAGGACAAACTGGTGAACATGTATACAATTACGAAATTTTCTCACCAGAGTTTCAACAGCATCGAAAACAGACCTAACGTCAACCTTCATATTTGATGTACAATCCTGTAGTTCAGCCACCTAAACAAACATTTTGATAAATGATCGAGAAAACAGGTATAATCATCAAAAATCCTTGACGACGCTGTGAAACGGAAGTATTTGTATACATTCCATCTAACATACTTCTCGTCCTGTTTGTTGAATAATTTCTGTATTTGCATCCAAAGTATGACCCATGCTGTCAATTTTTGAACTTATCTCCCGTTTTGTACCCTGTCGTGAAATGTTAACAGAAACAAAATGAGATAAAATATTGATGTCTGCAACTGAAATCATTTGGATTGATTAGCTCTCAAAAAGAACCATCATAACTGATAAGAACAGAGTTCAGCAGTGAAATCCTAAAAAATCTGTACAAGAGCAGTCTTTAAGAGCGCTAGAGAAAATATGGTAAGTAAGAACTTGCCGAGAGCGATGAGTAAAAACCGTCGATCTGGTTGCCAACATTATTACATGCATCTGACAAGCTGCGCCTTGTCGCAAACATAAAATCTGGAAGTTTCCAGCCCTGAAAATGTTGCAGAATAAATCAGTGCCCAGTAAGTTGTCAATAACAAAAAAAGAAACTACACAGATCAAATTAATTGGCACGGAGAACCAAATGAATTTTTTTTTCCAAGAACCAAAATCTTGACTAGACAGAAACACTTCAAACGGGTAACTATTTTTAAGCAGCTCAGATATTACCTTCCACCATACATATCCGTAGCCCAACACTCCAACTATAATGATAAAACCATACTTTCTACCACCTGGGAATTGAAGGAAATTGTTAATTATTTGCTTTCGAGCAACAATTAGTAGTGAACAAAGAACGATGTCTTATTAATGAAAGAACTTGGTAGTATTAAGAAGAAAATGACATCGATCAGAACATAAAGTCCGCCTTATTTGATGTG